GAACTCCAGAACATACATTTCCAGGTTGTAAGAAACTACTGAGTGAAAATAACCGCATACCAAGTCACACTATCAAGATATAGAAGCGCATGGGAGCGATAGAGAACAGGGGAAAAGAGAGAAAATGAGAGCTTCCAAAGACAGAAAGTGGGTCACATGCAAAGAATTAGGAGCTGGAATGCTTTGGACTTCCAAACAATACCGAAAGCTATTATACAGTTTTTCAATGCCTTAAAAATTCTGAAGACATTTATTTTCAATCTAGGCCTATATCTAATCTACCTATCATTTGTGAAGGTAAAATAAAGACATTGGCAGGCATTAGGTGCCCAGAAGAAATTACTTTCCATGGATGTTTTCTTCAGAAACTGCTGGAGGATGTGCTGTACCAAAATGAAAAAGGAAATCAAAAAATAATAAATACATACATACATACAGAAACACAAAACACAATAAATAGGAGCTTCAACACAAAACAGAGGAGTTGGAAATTCCCTGAATCATGAAGGGAGACCCAAAGTGATAGTTCTTCCCCAAGGAGCTTAGGAGCAAAAGCAGGAGCTGGCAGGTCTTCTTAAGGCTTCCGGCTGGAACTGGCATAATGTCACCCTACTGCATTCTATTGGCTACAGCCAGCCACCAGACCAGCCCAGATTCTGCATGAGAGAAGATGTAACAAGAGTATGAACACTGGGAGCTACAGTTCCTTGGAAGCTGTCTTCAAAGACCAACTACCAGAGAGGACCAAAATCATCCTCTAGTTGCCTCTGTGGAAAGAGGAATGGGGCATTGAGGCTTGTAATGTTTATACCAAATTTTGTAAGAATAGATGACTCTCAACTCTGTGCATGTATAACTTTAGTAAACATAAAGCGTATATGATCTCTGAAAGAAACAGGATGAGTAAAAGAAAAAGGAGGAAACGGAAGGTAGAAAATCATTAATTGCAATAATTCCAGAAAATATACCAGAACTCCATGACATAGGTTTTTATAGACTCCTGCTCAAAAATAAAAATATGGAGAATGCCGTCATTTTTACATATCTAGCTATGTAAATGAATTCCTTTTTGTCATATCATAAGTAAGCAAAATAGCCCAATTAAATGTTTTTTTTTTACTCCCTCAGTCTTATATTAATAACATGTTTCTCAGCTTTGCCTATTGTGTATAAAACAGACACGTTTATGAAGTTCTCTGTTAACATGTTCATGGGAGACCTGTGAAGTACTGGCTTACTTTATTACAGAGAGGGCACAATAAAGAGGACACGTCTATGTGGACAGGTTGACAAAATGAAGCAAACACCCTGGTGCTTTCCAACGTTATTCATCATAAGCCATGTAATTTCACTGATCCTTTCTGCTTGCATATGTTGCTAGGACATGAGAATATAGTGGCAATATTTAATGCAGAAAATCCATAATATTGATTATCTATTTAATCTTCAAAGCGATCCTTTGAAGAAGGTACTATTGACATCATTTTATACATGAAGAAACTAGGTCTTAGAGAGGTTAAGGAAGTTTCTCGAGCTCCTACAAATAATACGTAAAATCAGTGCTCTTTCCCTTTCACCCAAGAAGTGGTCATGGCCCATATTTTTACCTGCCACTCAACTGCTATCCAGTAAAGGGTAACGTGACACAGAGGAAAATTGGATCAGACAGCTGCCATTTGGCTTAGATCTTACTCAGTTCTCCAAGAAGTCAGTATGTATCCACCCTATAATCAGGGATAAATTACCTAATCCCTGGCACACCTGCTGTATACAAAGCATTAACTTAAGTGCTACAAAGTCTTTAAAGACATGTAAAATAATCTTAAAATATGGTAGAAGTATAGACCATAAAGTACAAGTAAAATATGAAAAAGGCTCAAATAAAACAGACTCCTGGATTCAGGGGAAATAGTGGCAATGAAAAGGAAAATAGTAACAATATAATGTTAAAGATCTGATAAAGTATTATAACCAGTATAGTGAGGGTATGGTGAGACATTCATTCACTTGCTCATTCATAATTTTTGAACACTCAGTAGTTATTTTTTAATTAATTTTATTTCAATAGTTTTTGGAGTACAGGAGGTTTTAATTTATATAATGTTTTACATATTTCCATGAATCACTACTAAATAACATGGATAAGTTCTTTAGTGGCGATTTCTGAGATTTTAATGTACCCATGTCCCAAGCAGTGTACACTTACCCAATATGTAGTCTTTTATCCCTCACCCCTCCCCTGACCTTTCTCCCTGAATCCCCAACATACATTATATCTTTCGTATGCCTTTGCATCCTCATAGCTTAGCTCCCCTTATAAGTGAGAACATACAATACTAGGTTTTCCATTCCTGAGTTACTTCACTTAATAGCCTCAGGCCGGGCGCGGTGGCTCACGCCTGTAATCCCAGCACTGTGGGAGGCTGAGGCGGGTGGATCACGAGGTCAAGAGATCGAGACCATCCTGGTCAACATGGTGAAACCCCGTCTCTACTAAAAATACAAAAAATTAGCTGGGCATGGTGGCGCGTGCCTGTAATCCCAGCGACTCAGGAGGCTGGGGCAGGAGAATTGCCTGAACCCAGGAGGCGGAGGTTGCGGTGAGCCGAGATCGCGCCATTGCACTCCAGCCTGGGTAACAAGAGTGAAACTCCGTCTTAAAAAAAATATATATATAATAATAATAATAATAATAGCCTCTAGCTCCACCCAAGTTGCTGCAAAAGACAATATTTCATTCCTTTTTATGGCTGAGTAATATTCCATGGTATATACTTACTGCATTTTCTTTATTCACTCATTAATTGATGGTCACTTAGGTTGCTTCCATATCTTTGCCAGTGTGAATTGTGCTGTAATAAATATATACATGTAGCTGTCTTTTTAATGTAATGACTTATTTTCCTTTCCTAGACACCCAGTAGTAGATTTTCTGGACTAAATGGTAGATCTACTTTTAGTTTTTTAAGAAATCCACATATTGTTTTCCATAGTGGTTGCACTAATTTATATTCCCACCAGCAGCAGCGTGAAAGTGTTCCCTTTTCACCACATCCATGCCAACATCTGTTGATCTTTGACATTTTAATTATGGCCATTCTTGTGGGAGTAAGCTGGTATCTCGTTATGGTTTTTGTTTGCATTTCCTTGAAAATTAGTGATGTTAAATATTTTTTCATGTTTGTTAGCCATTTGTATATCTTCTTTTGAGAAATGTCTATTCATGTGTGTTTCCCACTTTTTGATGGGATTATTTGGTTTTTCTTGCTGATTTGAGTTCTTTGTAAATTCTGGATACTCAACTTTTGTTGGATGCATAGTTTGCAAATATTTTCTCCCACTCTGTGGGTTGTCTGTTTGCTCTGCTGATTATTTCTTTTGCTATGAAGAAGCAATTTATTTATTTTTGTTTTTGCTGCCTTTGCTTTGGGTACTTAATCATGAATTCTTTTCCTAAGCCAATGTCTAGAAGAGTATTTTTGATATTATCTTCCAGAATTTTTATGGTTTCAGATCTTAGCTTTAACTCTTTGATTCATCTTGGGTTGATTTTTACATAAGGTGACGGAGATCCAGTTTTATTTTTCTACTGTGGCTTTCCAGTTTTCCCAGCACCATTTATTGAATAGGGTGTCCTTTCCCCAATTTATATTTTTGTATGCCTTGTCAAAGATCAGTTGGCTGTAAGTATTTGGCTCTATTTCTGGGTTCTCTATTCTGTTCCATTGGTCTATGTGCCTATTTTTATGCCAGTACCCTGTGGTTTTGGTAACTATAGACTTGAAGTGTAACTTGAAGTCAGGTAATGTGATACCTTTACATTTGTTCTTTTAGCTTAATATTGCTTTGGCTATGTGGGCTCTTTTTTTCTTCCGTATGAATTTAGGATTGTTTTTTCTAGTTCCGTGAAGAATTATGGTAGTATTTTGATGGGAATTGCACTTAATCTGTAGGTTGCTTTGAGCAATATGGTCATTTTCAAAATGTTGATTTTTCCCATCCATGAGCATGGAATTTGTTTCCATTTGTTTGTATAATTTATTTTCTTTCAGCAATGTTTTGTAGGGTTGTTTTGTTGTTGTTGTGTTTTTTGTAGCGATCTTTCACATCTTAAGTATATTCCAAAGGTTTTCTTTTTATTGCAGCTGTTGTTCTTGATTTGATTCTCACCCTGGTCGTTGTTGGTGTATAGCAGTGTTACTGATTTTTGTGCATTGATTTTGGATCCTGAGACTTTACCGAATGTGTTTATCAGGTCTAGGAGATTTTTGGATGAGCCTTTAGGGTTTTCTAGGTATATGATCATATAATCTGCGAACAGAAACATCCTCTTTTCTGATTTGGATGGCTTTCATTTCTTTCTCTCGTCTAATTGCTCTGGTTATAACTTCCAGTACTAGGTTGAATAGAAGTGGTGAAAGTGGGCATCCTTGTCTGTTCCTGTTCTCAGGGGAATGCTTTCAACTTTTCCCAAATCAGTATGATGTTGGCTGTGGGTCTGTCAGATAACGGCTTTTATTACTTTACGGTCAGGCCCTTCTATGCCTATTTTGTTGAGGGTTTTTTTCATAAAGTGAAGATAGATTTTATCAAAAAAAATTTTTTCTGCACCTATTGAGATGATCATGATTTGTGTTTTGAATTCTGTTTATGTAATACCTTACACTTATTGACTTGCACATGTTAAACCATTCCTGCATTCCTGGTATAAAACCCACTTGATCATGATGCATTATCTTTGTGATATGCTGTTGGATTTAGTTCACTAATATTTTGTTGAGGATTTTTGCATCTGTGTTCATCAGGAATATTGGTCTGTAGTTTTCTGTTTTTGTCATGTCCTTTGCTGGTCTTTTTTTTTTTAATGGGTGTTTTGTCTTATTCTCTAAAAACAACCTCAACATAGAGAGCCTTATACCTGTTTTTAAAATACCAATGTGGTGGATCCCCCCTCCAGAGCGGCTGTTCTCCATTGTGATGAGAAGCGCTAGCGGACACAGTCATACTTCTGGAGGAGCCCCATCCTCTTCACAGACGTGGACGTGGTGGCGCAGCCATAGGGAGAGCGCCCTGGGAGGGGCCTGTGCACGGTGTCCCCAGCCTCTCTCCCCCAGGAAACACTGTAAGAATCTGTGCACGATCTTAAGTGGCTGCATCTGAAACAAACTGGGCACCCAGCTGGGAGCTTCTAAGGAACTGTGGCTTCTGTGGCTTATGATGTTTATGAAATACGGTTTATCACCGTCAGGATCTGGAGAAGGTGGGAGGAGGTGTGCTGGAACACAGCCAGTGCAGAGATAGGAGCACTGAGGATTGCTGGGGAAGTTCTGCTTGGTTTGGCCTCCCCGACCAGAACGCAGCTCAGGAAATCTTCCTGGGGTCCCAGGCAGCCGCAGCTCTGCAGGACCGTGGGCAAACGGGCAGCAGTCCGCGGACAGAGCACAGCCGCCGGGGTGATGCGTGAACCAGCAGTGGCGGGTTCTGCAGGCTTTGGAGAGCAGTCTCGGTTTCGCTTGCGGTTGCTTTGTCCTCCGCAGCGTCTCCTCGCTCCGTGCGGGTGTGAGCCCGCCGTTCACAACTCGGAACACCTGGTGCTGTTCGGGAGCAGCGTCTGCAGACCCGCACACTCCCGCTTCAGCCTCCGCAGCGTCTCCGCGTGCAGCTCACTGGCTACTTCTGCCAGGGAAAGGCTCTCCCCCACACTCCAGGTCTTCACACTCCCATTTCGAGAACTTCTTGTGTTTAATTGCTTTCACCTAACAGTAAATTCGCCGCCTGCAAAACCACGTGGTCAATAAAATCTCGCGAGAGGGCGGCACAGTTCCTCACGCGCTCAGCCTTTCCTCTGGGGTGACATCCAGGTAGCCAGGGGCCTTCGGCCTGGGGCCGTGCGCCGTGCTCGGCAGCCCGGGCCTCGGCTGCACGCCAGACCCCAGCGTCCACAGCTTCGTGGCTGTCATAGTGACCAGCACTGTCAGCAGCAACCCGGGGTGGAGAAAGGGTAAGCTCCTGGCCAGGTGGGCTTACAGGGCAGCCCGGCCTGCTCTTAATGTACTGAGTCCTCTTTTCATCCATGGAAGCTTCTCTGGAGGGAGGGTATGTTCTGGATTTCCCAACAAGACAGACTCTTTCGGTTGAAGGAATCCCAAGGCAGTCTTCCTCTACGTGAAACCCACAGGCAAAGCCCACTTCTTTAATGAAGTCAAGGTATTCCGGGTACTGAGTCCTCTTACTCGGCCTCCGGGGGTATTAGGGTGATACTGGACCCCTGGAATGATTTAGGGTGGATTCCCTCTTTCTCTATCATTTGGAATATTTTCAGTAGGATTGGTACCAATTCTTCTTTGAATGCCCGGTAGAATTAAGCTATAAATCCATCTTGTCCTAGACTTTTTGTTGTTGTTGGCATTTTCTTTAATATTGATTCAGTCTTGCTGCTTGTTATTGGTCTTTTCAGGGTTTCTATTTCTTCCTGAATTAATCTAGGAGAGTTGTATATTTTCAGGAATGTATCCATTTCCTATAGATTTTCACATGTGTGTGTGTGTAAAGATGTTCATAGCCTTTGTGAACCCCAAATATCTGAGACAGGTCCCAGCTAACTTAGAAAGTTTATTTTGCCAAGGTAGAGGTTGTGTGCTCATGACACAGCCTTGGCAGGTTCTGAGGTCAGAGCACAGGTTGGTTTTACACATTTTAGGGAGACATGAAACATCAGTCAACATATGTAAGATGAAAATTGGTTCATTCCAGAAAGGTGGGACAACTTGAAGCAAAGGCAGGACAACTCCAAGCAGAGAGGGGGCTTCTAGGTCATTGGTAGATAAGAAACAAATGGTTGCATTCTTTTGAGTTTCTGATTAGCCTCTCCAAAGGAGGCAATCAGTTAGGCATTTATCGCAGTGAGCAGAGGGGTGAGTTTGAATAGAATGGGAGGCAGGTGTACCCTAAGCAGTTCCCAGCTTAACTTTTCTCTTTAGCTTAGTGATTTGGAGGCCCCAGATTTATTCTTCTTTCACATGCCCACCCTTTCTTTTTTAAAATCTTTTGGAGAAAGCATTTTAGAAGAAAATGAGTCTCTGATCTTAGGTTTCAGCTAATCTCTCATGGCTACGATGATTTATTCCTAGACAGGTAGGTCCCAATTTATTAGGAAAGCTCATTTTTAGCAGGTTGTGAAGTCTCACGTCCTGTGAAGAGAAAACGGGGAGAAAAACCACAACAGACAAAAGAACAATCTTGGAAAACATATAGACCATATTACTCTGAAGTTTATCAGTAGGCAGTTATGAAAGTGGCTTATGTATGTAAATAGGTTATCGTTATTTTCTTAAGTTTAAGTTATCTAGCTTCAGTTCGTAGGGCTTTGTGAAAGCACAGCTTAGTTTTGGGTGACTCCAAATTAGGAAAAATGAGAAAAAAGAAGGAAAAAATTTGAAAATATTTTGAAGACTTGTAGCCCAGATAAATTAGAATTCAGTCAATATTGTAGAAAACAATAGAAATTGAAAAACATTAGGTAAGACTAGAATCTAACAACAGGTATCTTATAGTTTTCAAAATGTAATTTTTCTCTCCAGTTTCCTATTTTTAGTAAAGACAAATCATGGCACGACAGATTTGCTTTATTATATTTGGCCTAAATATTTGGATACAGTGCAGCAAGAATAATTATTTTTTACATAGGCTTTTATATTGGCTTTAATGGAACTTTGTTCCATAGAAGGAATTTCAGATAAGACTTTTTAAAAACCTAACCCAGCCATGGATTTGTACCATCAAATACCTACGAGTTGGGTGAATTCCTCTCCTCTTAAGGTCCCAAGATAAAACTTGGGGCTCTTGGGCCTGTCAGAAAGTAAGATTCTTTACTTACCACAGGTCAGAAACCCTGTACAGCAACTATGTAGACAAGGTATGAGGACAGTTTTCCCAAAGGGCTTTTATTGGCTCCCTAAGTTCAATTCCTTAAAGGAAAGCACACCATTCCAGGCAAAGCCTTGGTAAAATAACCAGGTTCTCGAGTTGTCTCCTGTTACAAATGAAAACAGATGCTTATTGAACTTATTCATATACCTGTTTTGCCATAAGTTAAGAATACTCACAGTTTCCAAATTCTGGAGAAATCAGGTAGAGAGAAACAAATATGCTCCAAAATTTGTTCATAGGAGTATACTAACTTGTTAAAAGCATTCAATTTTGATTTGGGGGCCCCAAGATTTATTTTCCTTTCACACCTTGAATGATTTTTTATATTTATCTGGTATTTATTGTAATATCTCCAGTTTCATTTATAATTAGGCTTATTTGGATCTTCTCTCTTTTCTTGGTTAATCTTGCTAATGGCCTATCAGTTTTATCTTTTCAATGAAGCCCTTTTTGTTCATTTATCTTTTTTATTTTTTGTTCCAATTTCATCTAGTTCTGTTCCATTCTTTGTTATTTCTTCTGCTGGGTTTGGTTGAGTTTGTCCTTGTTTCTCTATTTTCTGTAGGTATGACATTAGGTTGTCAATTTGTGCTCCTTCAGGCTTTTTCACATAGGCATTTAATACTATGAACTTTCCTGTTAGCAACACTTTTGCTGTATCCCAGAGTTTTCAATAAGCTGTGTCACTATTATTCATTTCAAATAATTTTTTTAATTTTCATATTGATTTCATTGTTAACCCAAAAATCATTCAAGAGCAGATTATTTAATTTTCATGTGTTTATACAGTGTTGAAGATTCCTTCTGGATTTGATTTCCAGTTTTATTCTATGGCCTAAGAAGATACTTGATATAATTTCAATTTTCTTAAATTTATTGAGACTCGTTTTGTGGCCTATCATATGGTGTACCTTGGAAATGTTCCATGTGCTGATGAGAAGAATGTATAGTCTGCAGTTGTTGAGAAGAATGTTCTATAAACTATTTTCCTTTGTTCTAGAGTATAGTTTAAGTCCATGTTTTTTTGGTGTTGTTGACTTTCTATCTTGATGATCTGCCTAGTGCTGTCCATGGAGTATTGAAGTCCTCCACTATTATTGTGTTACAGAGATAATCCTTCTATAAAATACCACCTAAGTTATTGTTTAGTAGGTATTAGTTTTTATAGCATGTTTAAAGTGAAGAGCTTTTTAGAGTTTTTTGTAGAAATGGGGTTTTGCTCTGTTGCCCAGGCTCCTCTTGCCTCAGCTTTCCAAAGTGCTGGAATTATAGGGGTGACCTTTTATTTATGATTATCAGGGAAGGGTGCCCATTAAGATGGAGTGATTGAGATCAGTGAGGCTGGTGGATATGAGTGGAGTCCAATTTAGAACCAAAATTTGCCATTCCAAGAGAAATAAAACACACTGATTTCATTTTTAGTTACTTCAGAAATAGGCATAGACTATTAGGTAGCCTTTAAATGACTCTATCCAAAATAGAGACTAGGAGAAACCAAAGTAGAACTCAAGGACACAGGAGAAAACAACAAACACAAAACACACACACTCTCCGCCTCTCCCCGTCGTCTCTCCCCGTCGTCTCTCCCCGTCGTCTCTCCCCGTCGTCTCTCCCCGTCGTCTCTCCCCGTCGTCTCTCCCCGTCGTCTCTCTCCCCCCCCCCCCGCCCCGGGTGTGTGTGTTCCCCATCAGTAAATACTTTGGTCAAATCATTGCAGGTGAGTGAAACGTGTTGAGTAAATGAAACCAGCTGGGAATCCAGCTCTTTTCCTTAAAGGCTGTCACTATTACGCTTTCTTAACCCCAGAGGCAATAAAATGAAGACATCAAGAACAGTAGCTCTGAAATTAGGCTGCCTGTGTCTAACTCTCCTCTCTGGCTCTTCCTAGCTACTTGAACCTGGACAGGTTTCTGTGCCTCAGGTTTCTCATCTGTAAAATGAGGATAATGGTATATTCCAGGTTGTTTTGAGAATTCAGTTTATTAACACATAAAACCAGTGCCTGGCACAAGCTAAGCATGAAACAAATGCTACTTATCATTGTCTTTCTCCTTTACTAAAGATAAGCCAACAAAGAAAACTCCATCTTCCCTCAAAGAGCTTCCTTTTACTCAGATGCCTGTTTTGTCTCTTACAAGCCAAATAAGAATTTCTTCAGCTGAAGCTAATTGAATTTTTCCTGATTTCTTAAAACTTTCTTCTGGGATTCAAAAAAAGTTATTTCTATCAAGAGGAGATAGTTATCATTCAGGGCAAGAAACTAGAGCAAAGAATAAATTATACACAGACCTCATCTCCTTTTTTATGTGTATGTTCCAAGCCTTTAATTTGGTTTCTCTGCATCTTTCTAAGAGAGGCCCACCACCGTAGGCAGTGACTACACTCTGGGAGACAAGTGAAGGTGTAGCCTAGCAACCCAGGTCACATGATATGGGACCTTTGCTAGTTTCCTTCCACCTTAGCGATCTTCGATCTTCATATAGGTAGACAATCTGATTTCTTTCAATGAAAGGTTGGATGGGTTTCATTTTTTCTCTTTTTCCTTTTTGTAAGGTTAGCCAAGAGAAAGGAGAGTAGACTCAAAGTCAGGCAAGCAAGTTTTATTAACCTGCCAGGCTGCCGTGTAACAATCAGTGGGTCAGTCCAGAGCTTACAAAACCAGGAATTTATATGGGGTGAGAGGATCATAAGGGAGTTTTAGGACTGCGATAATCTATCAGCCTGTGACAGGCACAGAGATAGTTTGTAAACTTGTGACAGACTTACAATACGTCATCCTGTGACTTTGGTGGTGGCAGTTTTTAAAAAACAAGATTTTACAGGTATATGTAAAACAGGAATTTACAAGTATGGATAACAAACATTAGTTTTTCCTGTCCTCTCCCAAGCTGCCCAAATGGCTGTAATCAGGCTTTGCTTAATTGTAGCAGCTAGATAGGAGTTCAGGAATGCCGCTGCAGAGCAATCAGAGTGGGGGGAGGGGTGGTCAGCCTGCACGGAGGGGGCTTTCTGAGGCAGCTTGTCCCTAACGTTCCAGCCTTTTAATAGGGTAATAGAAGAGAGGCACCGTGGTCATCTGACTGCTTCTTGCTGGATAAGGGCAAGAAGTTTTATTTGGGGGGTGGGGAACTAGATCATAGGGATTGTTGTTCCTGGAGCAGTCGGTATTCTTGAAGCAGCATCATATCTTATATTGTTCCATGGGTGAAAGTTTTAAAACAGTTTTGTAAAAACTGGGTGAGGAATCATAAAAGGCAGGAGCCAAATGCTAGGAGGAGGAAAGGGATTATAGCAGTACCTAGGAGGGGCAATAGTCAGGGCGCCCAGGAGTTATGGATCCAGGTGAACTGTCTTTAAGTTTTTGTACTTGGTCTTTGAACTTTTTGACGGCATCTCGTACTAACCCAGATTCATTGAGGTAGAAACAGCATTGTTCATCTAAAAGGAGGCACAGATCTCCTTTCTCAGCAGTGAGGAGGTATAGACCTCTGAGGTTTTGTAGGGTGACTGCTGCTAAAGAGTTTAATTGGTTTTGGAATTGTGTGATAGAGTGTGCTACTTCTTCTAGTGATGATTGGAAGTCTCGGGAGAGTGACTGGAAATATGATAATGACGTTCCTAGGCTTTCTGCTCCTAACTCGATACTAGTTGTGACTTCAAGGGCTACTAATAAGGAAATGATCTGTATTGCTCTTTTTGAATAGCAGGGACAGGGAGTTCTTGGTTAGGAGAGACAAAGTTAATGTTGGGGGTAAGGTAGACTAGGGTGCAAGTACCTGTCTAGTTGGTAGGGAGGCAGAAGTAGGTTGTGAATCTGCAGAGGAAGAAGATGCCTGTGGTGCTAATGCAAGTGGATTGGGAATAGGTGTTGGAGTATGTAGGTCCCTCATTTGGAGGGACTTGTTTCAGCTTTAGCAACCCAGAGTGAGGAGGAGAGAGAGACCCCTTTGAGAACTGTCTGGAGAAGGGGTTTCCATGTGTGAGAGGCAGGAGGGGCTGGGTAAAGAGGCCATTAGCTTCAGGGTAAATGGAATAATCTACTTGGAGTGAAGTATGGGAAGAGGGATGAGAGATGGTTTGAATTGAGCCACAGACAGAGGGAGGGATGGTGCCTACGTGTATGTGTCCATTGGGAGAGGTTACACCTAAGGGGGCTTGGCCAAGTTTTGAGGTGTGGAGGGTTGTGGGACCTTAGATGGCAGGGTGAGGGAGTTTTGCATGGTTGTAATTGTCAGCACATGTGGAAAGAAGTTTGGTAGCTCTGTTAGTGAGAGCAGTGGGATAGTTCCCAGTGAGGGTGAGGGCTCTGTCTACAAAGGCAGAGCCATTTTGGACAGTATATGAAAAGCGAATGGGAATATGGTGCCAAGGCTGAGAAATTACGGTGGCTGAGTAGGTAGTAGAGGAAAGGGAAAAACAGGTCCAGCAATGGGAAGCAAGTGTAGAGTTAGAGTGCAAACATAAGGAGTGAGTGAGACTTGAGAGATCCTTCAAGCCTTGTAGAAGTATGAAGGGACTCTAATGGAGCAGAGGCAGTGGGGCTTACTATTAAAAGAGTTAGGAACTTTCAGAAGAATCAGAATCTGTATCTGGCGGGGAGGAGTTGGTAGAGGCTGTATGGGGAGGTGGCCTCTTCTAGAGGGTCTATGAGGTGGCTGATAGCATCCCATGGCTAGTCAAAATCTCCTTGCAAATGAGCAATGAATAGGTGAATTAAGACCTTTCTATGTGTGGGACTGGAGAAATAGGAGAGGACTTCCAATATTTGGTATGCTATGGGGGGAAGGGAGGCTGTTCCTCATCACAAGGACCTTGGCACCTGGAGAAGAAGCAGAGGTGATATATGAAGGAGTTACCGCTCATGGATTTTCCTCAAAGGGTGTAAGGCGGAGTTTGGTTGGACTAAGGAGGGTGCTGGAGAATCAGCAGAGGAGGGCAGTTGGTGGGTCAGTGGGGCTGCTTTTAATCTGGAAAGATGGTACCAAGAGATATGTCCTGAGAGTTTGTCTGCAGTGGGGGTTATTAGAATAATTTGAAAGGGACCTTCCCACTTTGGTTTAAGGCTTGCTGGGTTAAGAGTTTTTAGGAAGACATGCTCTCCTGTTAGGATGGTCCAGTTGGTGGGGCTTCATAGGGCTTTGGGAGGGCCTGGTCTGCTTGTTCACGGAGCAGATGGTGGATGAGGGAAAGTGTTGGGAGATATCCTCTTAGCTGAGAGTTAGAAGGGGGCCTGTTTTGTAAGAGGAAGGGAATCCATACATTAACTCAAATGGGCTGAGGAAGGAGGGTGCTTTTGGGCTGGATCTGATGCAAGCTAGGGCTATGGGCAGAAGGGAGATCCAGGGTTTCTGGACTTCAAGAGTGAGTTTGGTTAACTGCGTTTTAATGATCCCATTTGCCCTTTCAACTTTTCCTGACGACTGGGGTCAGTATGGGGTATGGAGGCGCCACTGGACGCTGAGGGACTGAGAGACTTGTTGGGTGATTTGGGAGATGAGGCTAGGGCCATTGTCTGATTGTATGGAGTGGGGGAGACCAAATCTAGGGCTGATTTCTGTTAAAAGACTTTGGGAGACTACTGCAGCTGAGGAGGTGGGAAATGCTTTCACCCACCTAGAAAAGGTGTCTATAAGAGTAAGAAGAAACTTAGCTTTCTTAAGAGGAGGCATGTGAGTAAACCCTATTTGCCAGTCTTCCCCTGAAATTGTTTCTCTTAGCTGATGTGTAGGGATAGGAGGAGAGCAGAGGGCTGCTTGGGAGGAAGTGACAGAACATATATGACAGTTTGAGGTTATGTCTTTCAGTGAGGTAAATAGGTTGGGGGAAGAGAAAGGTGAAGGAGAAGGTATAGGGAGCATGCACCAATATGGAAGGACTGGTGAAAGACGTTAGAATTTCTTTGGTTTGTTCTCAGGGGAGGATGAGTTTTTCATCTTTGATTATCCAGTTTCCTTGGAAAGAGGCCCCTTGTTGTAGCAGTGAAGCTTTTTCAGTGGGGCAATATTGGGGTTGAATAGTGGGGGTAATGAGGAGGAGAGGAGTAGGGGCACAAGAAAGCCTTCTTTTGCTGCCTCATCCGCCTTTCTGTTTCCTCTTGAGATTTCATCTGACCGTGTTTGGTGTCCTTGACAGAGCATAACTCCTGCTTTAGCCAGAAGGTGTGCACCTTAGAGGAGTTGGGAAATAAGGGGGCTGTTATTGATGGGGGTTCCTTTGGCAGTAAGAAATCCTCTCTATTCTACAAAGAACTAAAACAGATTTACAAGAAAAAAACAAACAAGCCCATTCAAAAGTGGATGAAGGATATGAACAGACACTTTACAAAAGAAGACATACATGAGGCCAACAAACATATGAAAAAATGCTCATCATCACTGGTCATTAGAGAAATGCAAATCAAAACTACACTGAGATACAGTCTCACGCCAGTTAGAACAGCGATCATTAAAAAATCTGGAGACAACAGATGCTGGAGAGGATATGGAGAAATAGGAACACTTTTGCACTGTTGGTGGGAGTGTAAGTTAGTTCAACCATTGTGGAAGACAGTGTGGCAATTCCTCAAGGACCTAGAAATAGAAATTCCATTTGACCCAGCAATCCCATTACTGGGTATATATCCAAAGGATTATAAATTGTTCTACTATAAGGACACATGCACATGAATGTTCATTGCAGCACTGCTTACAATAGCAAAGACCTGGAACCAACCCAAATGCCCATCGATGATAGACTGGACAGGGAAAATGTGGCACATATACACCATGGAATATTATGCAGCCATCAAAAATGATGAGTTCATGTCCTTTGTAGGGACGTGGATGAACCTGGAAACCATCATTCTCAGCAAACTGACCCAAGAACAGAAAATCAAACACCTCATGTTCTCACTCATAGGTGGGTGCTGAACAATGAGAACACATGGACACAGGGAAGGGAGGATAACACACTGGGGTCTGTCAGGGGGAAATAGGGGAGGGACAGTGGGGGGTGGGGAGGTGGGGAGAGATAGCATGGGGAGAAATGCCAGATATAGGTGATGGGGAGGAAGGCAGCAAATCACACTGCCATGTATGTACCTATGCAACAATCTTGCATGTTCTTCACATGTACCCCAAAACCTAAAATGCAATTAAAAAAAAAATCCTCTCTATTGCCAGATGGCGGCATGAGAATGGAGAATGTGATGGGCATATTTGAAGTCAGTGAAAATGTTGACTTGTTTGCCTTTGGAAGGTTAGTGCCCTGGTGAGAGCTATAAGTTCTGTCTTTTTGAGGAGGTCCCTGGGAGTAGGGGTTTAGCTTCAATTATTCAGTCAAAGGAGAAGACTGCATACCCAGCGATTTTATGGGAGTCAACTGACTTGGAAGAGGAGCCGTCTACAAATAACTGGTCATCAGGATAGGGGAGAGGTTCAGGGGAGATATTAGGGAAATGAGGCTGTAGGTGATCAAGGATTTCAGTACAGGAGTGGGTGGGAGAGAAGGAAGATGCAGGATTGAGGGGAACACTTTTGGAGAGGCAGAACTCAGGAGTTTCAAGAAAGAAGGCATGGAGTAGTTGGATATGAGAAAGGGAGCGTGCTCAGTGCTCGGGAGGAGAGGAGATCTTGTAGATTATGTGGGCTGTGGACTGCAGTATCTTGACTGAATGTGTTTCTTGCTTTCTAAGGCTAGGGTGGCAGCTGCTGCTAGGGCTCTGAAGCAGATCGGCCACCCTCAGGAAGTGTGGTATAGTTGTTTACATAGGTAAGTTATGGGAGTGAAGGAAGGAGGACTTCCTTTTGTTGACCAAGGACACCAAGGGCTGTTCCATGGCCTTTGACTGGTATAGAGAATGAAGGGCTGAGAGATATCAGGCAAGGATAGAGCAAGAGCAGTTACGAGGGTGGCTTTAAGTTTGTGGAAGCTCGGGATTATGTTATGTGAAGGATTTAGGGGCCCATTGAGAGGGCCATTAGCTGCTTCATAGAGGGTGTGGACTAGGAGGGAAAAATTGGGAATCCATATTCTGAAGAAGCCTGCTAGTGGCTTCTGTGGGTTGGTACTCCCAGGAAGGCTCTTCCTGGGGGATGGCAGTGGCTCCTGGGGGCCTAGTAGGATTTTACCGATGAAGATCATCCACATGTGCCTGGGCTGTGAGCCACATTCTTTCCTTCTCTTCCAGAGAGAGGATAGAAGAGAGGATATTAGAGAGATCATGCCAAGCGAGTTTATAAGACTGGGTGAAATATTTAAATTCTTTGATGTAAGTATCAGGATCAAAGGAGAAGGACCTGAGATGTTTTTCAGTTTGAGAGAGATTGGAGAGGAAGAAGGGGACATGGACATGGACGACTCCTTTAGCCCCTGCTACCTCCTGAAGGGGAAGCAAAGGAGCTAGTTGCTGGGTATGCTGGGCTCAAGAACAGGTAAGGGGTGGAGATGGGGAGGACTTAGAGTCAGAAGCAGGGTATTTGGAGAGAGGGAGGAAAGGGGTAGGGCCAGAGCAGGGGCGTACGATGGAGGATCATGATGCTCTCGTGCGGGCTTATGATGTGGTCAAGGAGGAGGAAAATTGGCGGGGTCAAAGGAAAAGGAGTTGTCGGCTGGGGCTTTGGGGAGTGTGGCAGGAGGTGAGTCATTGGTCGGGGCCATGGGGAGAGTGATAGGGGGAGTCAGGTTTAGAGCAAGCGAGGAGGATTTGGAAAGTAGAATAGTAATGGCAGAGGGAAGGATGGCTACAAAGAATGAAGAAAGCCTGAACATAAGGAATCTCAGACCATTTCCCATTGCAGCGGCAAAAGTTGTCTAAGTCTGTAAGTATACTGAAATCAAAAGTGCCATTTTCCAGCCATTGGAAATCATTGTCTAATTTGTATTGAGGCCAAGCAGTATTACAGTAAAAGATAAGTCTGTTAAGACGGACTTCTGAATGGAGGCGGAGAGTATTGAGATTATGCAGGAGATACCCAAGAGTATAATTTTGGAAGGGGTAGACTGACAGGCTCCTATAGTGAATGGGGGAGGGAGTTAGAGGAAGAAGAGACTGCCAATTGACAAGAATGGCAGGAGAGGACATCCCCTGTCCCACAGGCCTTTTCCGGAATAGTGGAGGTAGCCACCGAGTCATATATCCATGAAATGGAGGAACTGGAGGCCTGGTTCTGGGTCTTTGGAGAAGGCAAAGACAGTCAACAGTTCCAAGTAGACGGCAAGAGTCTCTCTTACTCACCCAGCTGAGGCTCTAATGGTGCATGAAGTTTCCAGCAATAGGAGAGTCTGGGAGATCCTCCAGATCTTCAGCAGGTTCAGGAAGGGAAGGGTTGACCTGGAGAGATGTGATAGGAAAGAGAGAGAGAGAAAGAGAAAGAGAGGAAAGAGAAAGAGAGAGAGAGAGAGAGAAGGGGGGAAGGGGGGGAGGGAGAGAGAGAGAGAAAGAGAAAGAGAGGAAAGAGA